GTACACACAAGAAATAACTATTAGTAGTATTCTTCTTTATTTAATTAATTAGGTTAGTATACTACGTACTTACTTAACGTAACTACTCCCTCCCTCCTCCTCTCTCTCTCTCTCTCTCTCTCTCTCTCTCACACACACACACACACACACACACAATTCACAATGACAAAACATATCTTCCCCCTCTCTCTTGCACACACAGAAACACACATCTTACTACAACAACAACTATGTGTTATTAATAATTTCATATGCTTACCTCCAAAGCGCTCACTCCATCATTGTCCTTGTTCAAAGCACGTTTTTTCTTCAATTGCTTTAACAAGGTTTCGTACAGCATGAACTGAATTGAAGGATTGCTAACCTATACACAGAAGATGCAAACTGTTCACCTCTCATTGCTTAAATCACCAACTCTTCAGTTCTTATGACCTCTCTCTCTCTCATAGCTTAAATCACCAACTATTCAGTTCTTATGACCTCTCTCTCTCATACACACACACACACTGTTGAGATATGGTCAGTCAAACATCTTCAAACATTTCCTCTATATCAAATTTTACTCAGTTTCCCCAAGAAACATTAAAATCTCCATAGACATTAACTTGAAAATTTCCTATAAAGGGATTTGTTACTACTAATATCCTACCATAATGAGTGTCGGAACCACGCCCTTCCAAAACCCCCACACCCCAGCTTCACCATACACTTCTTGCACCTGCGATTTAACAGTACAAGAACGTGTTATAATGACAATGAACAGAATGTAGAAAGGACCAAACACAAGTAACTACAACTGAAAGTTTTGTACTTTTTCTCTTTTATTCAGAAATAAAGGCAACTAGTTTTCAGATGAGTTCAGTTCTTTCTAATAAATATTAATGTGACTCAACCAAAAATGATTACTTTCTAAAAAGCGAATATATATATATAAATATAGCAAAATGCTGAGATTAGCTCACTAGCTCATATAAACATATGAGCTCAACCGCCCAAATTGAATCTAAACCGATTTGACGATCACAACCTCATTTCGTATTTTAATTTTAATTTTTTTTTTTTATAAATCCAAATAACTTGAAATTTTAGGTGTGTATTCATCAAAAATAGAAAAATCTAATAAAAATGTCAAAAAAATAATTTGCAATAAATAAATTGACCAAAATACCCCTGAAAAGTTTCGGGGGTATTTTGGTCAATTTATTTCTTACAAATTATTTTTTAAATACTTTTTATTAGGTGCGCTTTGATGAGAAGAATGGACGCCTAAAAATTCAATTTATTTGGATTTGTAGAAAAAAATTAAAATTAAAATACAAAATAAGGTCGTGACAGTCAGATCGGCCCAGATTGAATCTGGGCCGTTGAGCTCATATGTTCATATGAGCTAGTGGGCTAATCTCAATATTTTTCATATATATATATATACATCAAATGTTTATTTATTGGGTACTCTAGATCCTCAAAAGGATATAGATTTTATGAACATGATATAGAGAATAGTAGAAGAGTAAGGATTCTCATTTCCTAGAAAATCCAGACAATAAGAGTCGTTTGAACTAGTGTTTTAAAAATCGGTGACCCGATCCGGATCGGGTATCGCTTAGCCCATCCCTGATCATGTAGAAAAATGGGATTCGGATGATTCTCTAGAGAATCGTCCTAATGACGTCATGAGTGACCAAGTGATGTTATGGATCGGCGAATCTCACTCGTCAATAATGTTTTTCTATTAAAAATTTGAACACATGCCCCACCTGGCCTATGAATTAAACCCTCAACTGCATATGTCAGCATGCATAAAAGCCCACTTACACGTGGCCCTGCAACACCAATACTTATTGTTACGGGTGGGTTCAATTTTTTATATGACCTTTTCTTCCCACATCCCTTCCATGTGGGACAATTCTCTAATACACTTTTGCATTCAATAAACTTCATATCTAATAAAAAGCTAATACTATTAGGTGTATTATATTACGTGGGTGTACTATTAGGTGGGGATGGGCACGTCATGAATAAGAAGTGTGTACGCCCGATGGTGGCAATTAAATTATAGGATAAAAAAGGAAAAAATTATTAAAAAAAATAATTGGGTGCCCACCACCCCTATCTTTCACCAAAAAAATTTAAATTTACTTACCCAAAAAATCCATAAAAACTCTATTAGGCTATTATCTCATGGGATTAGTTCATTATATAATTAATAATTAATTAATTAGTTAATTGGGATTAAAAAATTAATACTAGCTCATAGGATATTAAAAAAAGCAAAAAAACAATACTAATACTAGTTTATCAAATATTAAAAAGTTTAGATGATATTTTAAGAGAAAAAAATAACACTAACTCATACCACTTTAGAATTTATTTCAAGTTGCTTTATCAATTATCCCACAGAGCAAATATGAATTTCTTTACTTTATTAATAACCAAATCTTGTATTTTATTTATTAATTTATTTATATTATAAATTTTGTAATATATATATTTTTCTTATAATTGTAATTAAGATTTTTTAAATTAGATGATATTATAAGACATTTTATATTTTTATTTGTATAGTAAAATAACTATAAAATATAAAGTTATAAACCAACAACTTCAATTTCAATATATATTATTATAGTTGTTAGTTAGGTTGTAATAATTTTCGATGAGTAAAACGAATTAATAAATGTTTGATACTTTGATGTGATACTAATTTATGTGAAAATTTAAATTTTTTAATCTTATAATATGGAAGTGTTTTCTAATGTTTTTAAATTATTTTGATATATTATTATAATACTATATTACAATTAATAATTATGCAGACATCCAGACAAGAAAAACAACATCTCAATATGTACTTATTTTTACAAAATAATGAAAGTACATAATGCATCACTCCTAATTTCTTTTAGAAACTAAAAGAACACTATTTTTAGAGATTTATAGTGATTTTTTGAAAAAACAATTAAGAGAGAAAAATAGGAGGAAAATTATTAAAAATAATAACTGGTTGATAAGGCTCACCACCCCTATGCCACACCAAAAAAAATTAAATTTACTTATCCAAAAAAAAAAAGATACTAATACTATTAGGCTATTAGCTAATTGGGATTAAAAAAATTAATATTAGCTCATAGGATATTAAAAGAAGCAAAAAATAATACTAATACTAAAAAAATACAAGTTTATGAGATATTTTAAGAGAAAACAATAACACTAGCTCATACCACTTTAGAATTTATGTCAAGTTGCTTTATCAATTATCCCACATTGCAAATATAAATTTCTTTATTTATTTTCCTAATTTTATTAAAATATGATTGCAAATTTATGCTACTAAATTATATATTTCTATCAACACTAATTATTATACATTAGATTTATTTATTTGTGAGGGTTATACCCTTGTTTTTTTAATCACATTTATTCTAATATTGTAATTAATAATTATACTAATTACAATGATAATCAAATCTAATATTTTATTTATTAATTTATTAACATTATAAATTATGCAATGTATTATTTTTTGTTATAGTTGTAAATTAGATTTTTAAATTAGATGATATTATAAGATAAATTTCAGATTCTTCTTATTTGTATAGTAAAATGATGATAAAATAATGAAATACAAACCAATAATTTTAATTTCAATGTATATTGTATTTACTTCGGTTTTAATAAAAAAAAAATTTTGATAAAGTTAAGTTTTAATAATTGTTTGATGAGAATCTTCATACAAGGAAAAAACATCTCAATATTCGCATATTGATGTAAAAAAATAAAAGTTATTAATGCAATACCCTCATTTCTCATTGGATTCCCAAAAAACAACATTTATAATGATTCTTAATAATTTTTTTGAATTTGTTTTAAGGCCGAATCCGGCCGATTCCCAATCCGAAACTCCAATTCACCGATCCGGATGGATTTTTTGGGTGCCCGATCTGGAGCACCAATCCGTTTTTTAAACCACTGGTTTGAACAAACTTTTGTGTTACTCATAGTGGTATTCATAAAACCAAGCCAGTATAGTTAAACCTTTGCTGCCCTTTAGAAGAGAATACACTTGTACCACCTCAAGGAAATCATATCCGCACAGTAATACTTAATAATAAAAAAAAATGCATAGCAAGCTCTATTGCCCACACAAGGAATTATGCCAAAACCATATCAATATTCAATCTTCAACCCTTACAACCTCCTTTGCACCATATGCAATGGTTCCAACCTCCCCTGTATAACTACGACCAGTTGTCCTGAAATGCTCCCTCCAAATAGAAAATACTTTGTAACAACTAACTAGCTCCATGAATCCTCTCCTTCCAAGCAATCATCCAGTTACACCATTCAACTCATTACCGCCTAGCAAAGAAAGTGGGTTGATACATAGCAAAGCTACTCTTGGCAAGGATTATCAAAAGTTTTATCATGTTTACGCATAAAGTATTGATATTTATTTGCAGCTTTTGGTGGTACTTAATTACATTCTCACACTAAGTTGAGCATAGGCAGTGATTAGAAACTTGTTTTCAACTTGGAAAAACTCGGCCACTCGACTCAACTTGCCTAGGTACCGAATTTTATTAATGAAAAACTCGGGATGGCCCAAGCTTTTGGTTACAAAAGCATTAGTGTGCACACAGACGTAAACAGCATTTTCTGATGTGGAAAAAAAGGTTTAACTTGGGGACAAGCTACACTCCAATCCCGTCACAAACACTTCATATTGAAAAAAAAAAAGTATTAGAAAAACACATCCGAGTTTTTCCGAGTTAACTGTTTAACCTGTCAAGACATCTTGGTTTTTGCAGTGTCCAAGCCACACCCCGAGTTGCGAGTTTTTGAACGCTGAGCATAGGTAATGTGGAAGGGAGAGAAAGAAAACATGACCTATTGCCTATGGGAAAAAAAGGAGAGAGAGGCAAGAAACAAAGGCGGTTGAACTTAAAAAGAAGGGGCTTCAATATCAAAGGAACACACAAGGCCAAGTGCTGGAGCTGCTTTCTTTGTTGATTAGTGATCCCCAGTGATTGTGGAATTCAACAAATGGATCCATGATACAAAAAATGACAAAAGTACATACCGCATGACTAGTGCCAAAAGGAAGGGGCTCAATTGCAGCAATCCCTAGTGTACCTGAAGCACTAGATTTAACTTGACCAACATCAATTTTCTTCGGTCCTTTAGTATGTGTCTGCAATAAACAAGTTCAGCAAGTAACACAATTCAAGGATATGGAAGATTGGCTTTCCCTCAAACTGAAAAGGCCACAGATAAATCACATTTGTGGATCCAAGCAGAGAAAAGAAAAGAAAAACAACTAGTTCATAACCTGCATACGTGTAACCACAACCCATATTGGGTTTGTCAACAAAACATTCACACACCTGCGGAAAAAAGATCAATAGAATAAACCAAACAATATATTGTACAAAGATTTATAGATCATGGACAGAAGCAACACTTAGACACAAACATATCAAAATTATGCTTAAAAAATAAATAAACATGAGTTTAAAACTTCCCATCAGGCAGTCAATAACTGAATCATTACAAAATTCTATTGGAAAACCGTATGTGAAGGTGCAGCCATTCAGGCAATATGGGCATTCATCTATGCTTCTTTTTTTTTTGGGGTCCTAAATCAACAAAGGGAGAAAAATTCACAAAAACCTCACCCGGATAAAGCTGCTACAACAAGTGATGAAAACATCCCCACTGTTCCATCACCAGTGCCTTTCTTCCAATGTTCAAGTGCAGCAGCTTCTGCCCTGCTTCTGAAAATTTGATAGAAATAATAATAAACACCCTGTTCCAGAAAATTTTATCAGATAAGGAGGCACCATAGTCGATCAAGTTTTACAGTTAATGCCACCTTAAGTGACCAATATTGAGCTACTCAGATTCAATGACAACAGAACATATTAAATTGTTTAGGCCAAGATTGCCTGCCACTTATTTTATTAAGGAGGGTATTAAGGAAGGTTATTTTCACTTTTACAATTATTTCAAGAAAGATTTTCATGACATATTTGAGAAACAACAATAACTTTCTTTACTTTGTGTGCAGCAAGCAGTCCCTTCATCCAACATGGTAAAGCTTTATTAGAAAATATAATTGCATTCACCAAAGAAGGTGGGTCAAACTCAGACGCATCATGTTAATTTTTTTTGCCGCTTTTTTTGCTACTCAGATTCAATGACAATAGAGCATGTTAAATTTTTGCCAAGATTGCCAGTCACTTATTTTATTAAGAAAGAGTTTTAAGGAAGGTTATTTGCACTTTTACAATTTCAAGAAAGATTTTTCATGACATATTTGAGAAACAACAATAACTTTCTTTACTACATCTGCAGCAAGCAGTCCCTTCATCCAACATGGTAAAGCTTTATTAGAACAAATAATTGCATTCACCAAAGAAGGTGGGTCAAACTCAGGAGCATCATATTAATTTGACAAAATATCCTAAAGATCCATCCCATAAAAGGAATGCTGTAAAGAGAATAGAGGAGTCAAATGGAAGAAAATATATAAATGCTATTCACTTGAAATTTAATCTTACAAAAAGAAATAAGGAAAGATGAGAAAAAATTATCAAGTAAATATAATATGAAGGGAAATAGAACTGAAACGTAAAGAAAAATTAAAGGCCAACATGGAGATGATTATACATTCATCAAAAGCAAGGGCAGAAGGAGAATAGGAGAAGAAAGGGCCAAAGAGCCGAACAGTGAGGGGAAAGGAAGCAGAAAGGGCAGTATATAACAAATTATAATTCACTCATCTTCCAAGATAAATTACATAGAAGATAAGACAGCGATAGAACATTATTCATTCAATGTAGCACTAAAAACTGGCCATATATACATGAAACCTTAGCATACATCGACGTATGTGGTAAGTTCAAATATCACATGATATATGCACATTGATTTTTTCAAGTTAAAATGATAAATGCACACCAATGTGTTTTGCTCTTAGGAGAAAACTAATGTAAATTCAAGTTCAAGATTCATGTAATAGTATCTCCAGAGGGTAAGATCTTTGTCCCAATTATCTTTTGAGCTCCTATACTGCACTCCTAAAGGAACAAATTCTACATTTGCTCCCTTGGGAAAAAGACCAGCATAAAAGGAGCTGTTCTTATCTGAAATTTTGGGTCCACTTTACGATCACTAGATGAGTACTTCAAAGAGAAAGAAAATAAAAATAAAAATATATACAT